TATGGTTAATCAGTGCTTGACACAAATCCTCGTGGGAACGATCTTTACTCATCATTTTATTACTTGTTTGACTAGTACACTTGCTAAATAAACAACAATCAACCTCTGTACAAAAGATTCTTACCCCCAAACAGACCAAGTTATAACCTATCAAAGACCTTTTGATCAGTCTATGCATGTCAAATGGGTTCCTCAATCTTAGGAACTTGAGAATATGATCAAGCCTATGGAATTACTACTACACTGATGGAATGAGTGTGAAAGCTTCAAACACTAGAGTGATGAGAGTTACATATTTATCCAGTGAGGAACATTCAAGTTATGATCTTAATTTCTTGATAAAATCGAAAAGCATTGTTTAGAGTTTTTCAACAATGAAGTTATACATGCATAGCAGTATGATCTCTTAAGATATTTGTATTCCATGTTTTTCTTCACAGAGTTAATTTTTGCTTCTAACTTTAATCTATTACATTGCTGAGGACAACAACGTTCAAATCTGGGAATTGTTTGATATGCCTCCAGTATATGTATAAATCTAAGCCAAAAAGAGAAAGAATCTTGATAATTTGATAAATCTCAATCAGAGATCACACAACTGATTTTCTTTTAATTTTGTAGGAAAACAGGACAAAAAGAAGCTCAAGTGAAAGTTTCCAAGTTGAAGCCCCACGCTACTAGCGTGGAAATCACGCTAGTAGCGCCAGAATTAAATTTCATCCCGAGACATCCACGCTCACAGCGTGAAACTCACGCTAGTTGCACCAGACTTTCTTGCAACCCACGCTCACAGCGTGGGAACCACGCTAGTAGCGCCAACTTCCAGAACTGTGAACAAAACTCTCACGCTATTAGCGTGGAATTCACGCTAGTAGCGCCAAGCTCTTGTATTAAGAACAATACTCCCACGCTATTAGCGTGGGATTCATGCTAATAGCGCGGGAGGCACGTGGTGATTTTTCAAGCTTATATCAGACTATATCAGAGGGAGATTGGACCAAGAGATCTGATGAAGATTTGATCAAGATTTCTACACAAGGTCACAAACTCTATAAATAGAGACTCAGACCTCAGAGACAAACAATCTTTGGTTGGAGAGAATTCTTGGAGGTTCGCGCTGGAGATCAGGATTCCATCTTCTTCTTCTTTTTCTTTATTGTTTTCATGAATACTTTTTATTTCTTTAATTTGTTTAAGTCAGCTATGTCTGGCTAGTTTGTTTTTGTAGTTGGGATCACAGACCTAATGTGAATCCTTTATATTTCATGTATTGCTATTTTATAATTTAATTAGTTAGTTTGTTTGTTTCTACCTGTGTTGATTTTTCCATATCCTGTTTAGAACTGATCACTCTAAATTATAGGGCTTTGAGGGTTAGAATTCACAATAGACATATTGAGATTTTAATTTGGACAAGGGTAGAATAACAATTTGTGTATGATCTAGACATAGGCTTACATAAATTGCAGACTCATAATTCATTTGCTTAATGTTTAATTCAAGAGGGATTACTAAGACATTAGAATTCTGATTGGGTTAAAGGGTTGAAATCACTAAGACATTAGGGTTCAACTATTTTATAGGGAAATAATGAATTGTCTGAAAAAACGAATTAATTAATTATAAAATACAATATAGGAATATAAAGAAGATCAGAGGTGAAGTGTATCCTGACTACATCCTTTTTACAAATTTCTATCAATATTTTCTTACGTTCTTGATATTTTCTTGCATGCGTTAGAAATTAATTGTTTTTAATTTTCTGTTTTTAATTATTATTTTATTATAAATTCTATTTTTAAATTACTTTCACAAATCAAACCAATTTTTATTTTTCAACTTAAGGAGAATAGTTAAACTAGTACTTGGTGCATTAATCCTCGTAGGAACGATACTCTACTTATCTCTTTATTACTTGAAACGAACGGTATACTTTCCGATTTCACAACAGAACCAACTAACGAAAATCACTAACTAACAGAAAATAACAAATTAAACTAGGAAAACAAAGTAAAAAAATAAAAATAAATAACAATAAAAAACAAATTTTATGAATTGGTTTCGTGAAGTTAAAACATGTGAATACAGTTGTCACTTTTATAATAATATAATTTTACAGCCGTTGCACGTTGCTCTTTTATATAATTTGTGGATTATTTTATGAGAAATGTTTTTCTTATGTTGTTGGAGATAGTTATTTTATGTTAGTGAAACAAAATTATAAGAGGGACTCACAAATAATTGGAGAAAAAAAAATAGAAATAGTATCCACCTTTGTTATGTATGTATAGAAATTTGATTTATCTCATATTGAATAAGATAAATATAACCCTTATTTTATTCTGAACATTTTGATTCGCTTTTGAATTTTGTGAGCATATTGCTGTGTTAGATTCACGTGGGTGGGTTGGTTGCTTTAATGCATTTTGTTTGTATATGAATTGTTTACTAAATATTTCACGTGTCACGTGGGTACTGTGCGCTTTATTTTTTGCTTCAATTTTTCCGTAAAATGAGTTTGAAATTCGAAAAATAAAAGCACAAGATGTTGCAGCAGGTAGGATTTGGACACTCCACCACGTGATGTGGTAATATAACAACTGACCACTTGAACCACTGCAAATTGACGTTAACACTTTAACATATTATGTATTTATTACACGCTAGCGTGAATAATTTCAATTAATTCTTATAAGCTATTTCAACTTTGTAGTCTCATAACTGCATAGTTTTTGGAATCTCTTTCTTTTGAGTGTCGATTTGATTCATTTATATAATCTTGTCTGTGCCTTTTCACACTGACGTTCACTTATCACCCTCATCAGCGCCCGGGATGTTACGTGTGACTTAAAAGACCTATTATAATTTCAATAAGTCAAACATGAATTGATTAAAAAAATAGAATACAAGAATAACTCTTATAATTACTTATCAATCACTTCAAAACACACTTCTTTATGAAACATATCATTTGGTGGTAGTTTAGAATTGAGGATTATAACAATTGAAATAAGGTGTTAAATTAAATTAAATTAGGTCCAACATTAAATATTACTTATTACTTATTGTGTCACTTTTTTTCTCATAAATCCATTCATATCTATTAAATTAAAGTATATTTAGTTAAGAAAAAGTTAATTATTCATTATACTCTCTTTCTCTCTCCAAGAGTGACAAGTATTGTTTTTGTTTTTATTTTTATTATAAAATTTTTTAAATTCAAATCCTTTTTAATTAACTATTTTTTAATCTATATTTTTATAAATTTTGGTTGAATTTAAAAGATCGTGTGAATTATTACCAAAAAAAAAAAAAGATCGTGTGAATGCATACTCACTAGTATTATTACATCCTAATCTTAATTGCTGACACGTTTACAATATCGCTAGCCAATAGCCATTTGGCTTAAAAAAAAAAAATCAATGATATGAACAAAGGAGAATTATACTTACCACTAAAAAAATTTATTACCCTCACAACCAACTTAATCACCTTTGGATTAGAATTAAATCTAATTGCTCATAATCAATTCTTATAATCCTAACTTTTTACTCTTTCGTTCTCTCTTGCTCATCCATTTTTTCCTCCTCTCTTTAGGTATGGGAATTTTGTCCGTCTCGGCCATTTTCAACCATTCTCTTTGTTCCAATTAGAGCAATAACAAGAATTGGGGTTTTGTCATTTGTGCCTAATTGGTTTATTCCAATGATTCTCTTAATTCCGGTGAAACAAATCGGAGTACGACAAAAACGAAATGATGAATAATAGCAGCTCTTATGGCTATGCGTCACTGTGATTAGTTTACCAATATAAACTTTACTAGGATGACTAAACTCGGGGTAAACTTGTTTTGAATCTAAAACAACGAGCAGAATCCCAAAAAATAAAAATTACTTGAAATCAAGCGATACAGTTTATAGAGATTTATTAAAGTATTTCTTTTCTTTTTATTCGGGTCAATAAGTTTTACGTTTGTAAATCTATCAATGACACATTTCTTCCAGAGAAGAGGAGAAATTCGCAGACGTGGAGAAAGGAGGGAAAAAGGGGATGAAATACAATTGTTGAGATATATAGTCCCACGTTGGTTGTATGTGCAACTAACGTGGAGTTTATAAGGCCTTGGGCACTCTCACCCATTGAGCTAGCTTTTGGGATGGTGTATCCCAAAGTTCTTTACATGGTATCAGAGTCTCGCCGCTCCCCACTTTCTCTTGTGACGTTTCTTAGCACAGGTAGGCTGGGCCTGTTGCATTGTCCACTCTTCAAGCCCAATGGGCTATCGTGTGAGGGGGCGTGTTGAGATATATAGTCCCACATTAGTTGTATGTGCAACTAATGTGGAGTTTATAAGGTCTTGGACACTCCCACCCTTTGAGCTAGCTTTTGGGGTGGTGTATCCCAAGGTTCTTTACAACAATAAAAGGGTAAAAAGTTAATTAAGATTATAAAGTTTTAATGGGAGCCATTGGATTTAATTCTGATCCAACGGTGATTAAGTTGGTTGTAAGGATAATAAATTTTTTTTAGTGATAAATATAACTCCTCCCATAAACAAATTCTTTGAAATATTTGTTTAGATCCTCGTCCATCTGAGTTTGGCATTCCAACTTTACCATGTGGTATTCGCCATAAAACCAGCTAAATGAGAAAAGGTGAACGAAACAATGTGATACTCGCAAAATTTAATCCAATTTTTTTAGTAAAATTTTGACTAAACAAATAAATATTTTTTAACTTTCTTACCAAACTCACTTTCCTATTATATTACTGATAATTGCATTTACCTGTAAAAAAATTATCTTCTCTATATCAAACGTCCATAACATTTAATTCCCATGCAAAGTGGCGGTAAAAGCTAAAAAGGTAAACGGAGAAGGAACTGTAGAAATATATTATTTATGAACCTTAAATAAGAAAGCGGAACGACTAATAATTGCATCCATTGATCAGTCAATTATTTAACCTCACAAATGTAAATTTTACTAGACTCTCAATCATCATAATGTTTTGTGCATAGAACATGCACAATTTTCAGAACCAACATCATTTGCAATGCATAGAGGTTGAAACTGTCCATCTTTGAACCGAATGAATCGTTTTTTAAGAAATTCGCTAACAAAGGAGTCCAACATTTCAATGTTAATGTGTTGCATCACCACCACATGTGCAATGTTTCCATCGCAAGCCAAACTCCACCTACGCGTAAAGTCATCATCTAGAGGCCTTTCAAAGACAACTGTATTACTAAATTCATTCAACATTGCACCAATGCCACCATCACGTAGTTGATCCACTAAGTGACGTGCATTCTTGATACACATCTGCACTTCTTTCTTGAGTCCTATTAAACCTCTTTTTTGGAGAGCATACCAGAGGAAGATTGGAGCATGCCCGCTACGGCTACCTGTGATTGTGACATCCCTTGAAGCAATGTATTCAACATCACTAGATAGGGCATTGACCTGTTGTAAGCGAGTTATTACAACACCACAAGGAATTGGGCACCCCAAGAACTTATGGCCAGAAATAGCTACACTTCCAATGGGTTTCTTGAAGGTAACCCTTGGTGCCTGTGCAATCACTCAAACAATATTGTAGATGAAATCATAATTGAGTACGAAATATCTGAATCCTTAAGTTAGATTATAATATTGTAAATAAATAGGTAGGTGTACACACATGCATTCTTAAACAAAAATAATATGTAAAGAATAGTACTAAAGCATAGAACTTAATAATAATAATAATAATAATAATAATAATAATAATAATAATCAGTAACGACCTCAACTTAAAAATTTATCAATTAAGGATTTTAATTTCAAACAATTATTTTTTTAAATTTACCAATCCAAAAAAAGATAAGTCATATATGTATTATGTAAAGTTAAATTTGACTTTTCATATATTTTTCTATATATTTTTTTAACAAAGTTAATGTTCTTAATTGATAATAATAAAAAATCACCATAAATTAATTTATCATAAAAAAATATTTTTTAAATCTCCTAATTGATTCCCCACAAAACTTGATGCATACATCTAATTATCTAAAATAGTAATAAATGTACATATGTGACCCATACAATTCATGAATCTAAATATTGTCTCTTTTTTCATGTCTCTCAAATCAAACCCAAGTAAAAATAAACTATGCAGTATGCACAATAGCTTTTCTTTTAGTTGGTTAATTTGTTGGTATGTGTAGTTGGGGGATAAGATTGGAGGAAAAAACAGAGAAAAATAATATTTTATTCCACAATCTAAATACTACTATCTAAGCACACTATAAAGTAATGCTTTTATGTAATAATATTTATGTAAATAACTTTAACACACCCGTTCAATAAAAGCCAACATCATTCCAAATAGAGCTCCATCACAGTGAATGTAGAATCGATCACAAGTGAATCCACATTCCTCAAGTGTTTGTGTTACAAGATCAAGGTCATCAACACCTCCTTTCATAGTTGTCCCTGCATCAGGAACCCTTTCAAGTTTAGACAAAATGACTATATAAACAATTTGTACAAAAGTGCGTACATAAGCTTGTTAACTGTAATCTGTGTATAGTTGTCGAAGATAAGAGGAGACCTATGTTTAGATTGATGATGGCGGGTTTGTCCTTGTGAGCAAGAAGTAAAGTCTTTAGATCAACACAATCGATCTCACCGGATACCAACGTGCCAACCTTCACGCATTGCATTCTATACATTCTTGCTATTTTGAATATTGAATAATGTGTGTCCTCTGAGGTATATAGAATCCCATCGGGAAATTTTTCCCTCCTATATATACAATAAACACAAACAAATGGTTATTATGTTTAGGATACATATTATTTAAAACAATCAAAGGTCTAATGAGTGCCTTTTTAAAGGATATAAAGTTGTACTATTTTAACATAAGTTATAAAAAGATAAAAAAATATAACTTTAATATTATAACTATATATTACCGTACGTATCGTATGACTGTTAAAAAACACAACCTTATATATATCCTTATAAAGGTGAAAACTTTTTCCCACAATCAAAGCCTCTTGAAACGAAGTTCAACAAAACTTAATTACCCCTGTAAAATCCCATGAAGATTTCCTTCAGTCCCACCAGTTGTGACGTATCCCCAGTACTCATCCTTCTCTATCTCCCAGAGGTTAGCAAACCAATCAAGCACGCAAACTTCAAATTCTGTTGAATTTAGAACAAAACTGCTCCCTCTAAAAGGATCCCCAACATTGTTTAGGTGAAATTGCAACAATGGTACCAACGCATCATAGTCCAAGTCCAGATTAGTGGGGTAGCCTGCTTGGCGGATATATATTATTAGAGAAGGTCTTGCAACTATATATTGATACTTAGGGATAAACGTTCACCATTAAAAAAATAAAATGAAAAATAAAATCAAAAGCATACCCAGAAAGTGCAGTTTCTTTTGATTTAGTGTCCCCACGTAATGACTAATTATTTCAGCCAAATTGGGCGGTGTCTCCCCGGTGCACTTGGTGACAGCAAGGCTCAAATGTCCATTATTCTCTTGGATTTCTCTCTGCTTCTCTTCTTCTCTAGAGGGCTTGGTTTTACTGACCACCCTAGGTAGCCGCTCTGTGACAGGAACTGTTGGAATAATTAATGACATTGCTACGTTCTTCTCCATTGGTCGTACTCACCACTCTTTTTGTATTTATATATGATTTGAGAGTGACACAAAAATAGTGAGAAAGTACTCATAAAGCGATGAATAAACATTAATTGGCACAGCAGAATAGGAAATTCAAATTATTTTAATTCTTTAAATAATAAATATTGTTAATGCATACGTTTTATAGTTAGTTCACATATATAGAAATATGAACATTTTATATAAAAGTATGCCATAAATAAAGTGTTACAGTTCCACTATAGTAATTTTATTATTTTTAAAAACAAAAAAAAAGTATGCACTCAGTAATGCGTTCCCCTATAATAATTTTGTTATTGTAAAGATTTTTTTAAAAATATTTATATATACACAGTTAATAGTATTTTTTATTTAAAATAAAAATTTATTTTAATGAAACACTTTACTTTTTTTTTTGGAGTTACCCAACCCTAATTATCTCTTTGAGACGAGTTGGCTCCCTCCGGTATCCCCACGAGTTTCGACTCTTTGAGCCGGCTATGGGACTAATCCGGAGTGCGGGGGAATAATGATGGCTAAAGGTTCAGCCCCCTCCCCAAGAATGCATTCAGCGGGAATCGAACACATATCCAACCCCACTAACTAATAAAATTACTTGTTGCATTCTTTTATGTTCTTTAAAATAATAAAATTACTATAGTGGAACAGTTTGCTTATTGCAATTGATTTTTATTATTTTAATTTACTTAATAATTGTTTTAAACTCTTAATAGATTTTGACTTAATTCATCAAAAAATTTCAAGAGAACAAATGGTTCCTCATATATTTAATAACAAGACTTATTAGGAGTGAAAGTTGTAAATTTCACGTAAACTTTTATATCCAAATTTTTTCAAAATATTAAATAAATAGGATTCGATCCTATTTACAAATATTTATGAGTAGAGAAATATTTATATAATACGCTTTGTGCAGCATGCAAACCACGAGGTGAGAGACAAAACAACGAGTCTGTAACTATCAGCAGCAAGCATTAAACAAAGGCTTTATTTTTCCTCTGTCGAAACGGATCGGGATGTGAAGGCGAAATAAATAAAAATTAAAAATAATAGAGTCAAGATCCAGATTTATTTGAAAAAATATTTAAAAAAATTATTTTTTTTTGTTGAGAAAACTGATATTTGAAAATAGAAATGGACTTATGAGTAGGGACAGTGTTAACATCTAAATCATTCATTTTAAAAATTGTTATCTTAAATTAATTAGGCAAATTATTGATAAAATTTTAGAATATTTATTTTAACCCAGAGAATTAAATAAAGGAAAAAGTGTGTATCATTTTAAAGGATGTAGAGTTGTGTCATTTTAAGTGAGAGAAAGAGATAGATAAAAAAAGAAAGAGAGTGGACAAAAAAAATATAAAGTTGTGGGTCTCACCAATTTCTGAAAGTGAAAGAATATAAATTATGTCATTTAAAATGACAAATATTTTTCCTTAAATAAAATTGATTATGGGAGAAAAAAACTAATTTTTGAAAATTTAATTTTAAGTTTGACAGGAAGTGTCTTCTCCCAACGTATCCCTCTTGCAATTGGGTTATGTCGTTCTATAAAAAAGTATTTATGTATTTGTTGGTTTTAATTTTTGAAAATAACTTTGAAAAAGATCATTAATTATTTTGGTTTAGCAGCATGAATGGTGCAGTGGAGAAGGAGACAGCGCAGCGCAACATGGTGGTGCTCGTGGTGGTTGACGGCTTACACTGATGGCGGCAGTCATGGAGGTTTAGCAGCACGGTTACTGTTGGATTTAATTTGTGTCTAAATCTCATAAGTTATGAATTAGAAATGGATTAAGGGAAAAAAAAAAAAAGGTGAAAGGAGTGTATGAGTAAAAGTTCTACATTGGATAAGATACGAGAAGTGAAGGGATTTATAAACCTACACCTCACCTCTATTATTTGCCTCTTGGGACATACCACTTTTTGGAGGAGAAAGTGAGGACCATGGCTTGTTGTGGTTACAGCATAGAAAGATAGAAGAATGTGCCTTAAGAGCACTAAAAATGTTGGAGGACTTGCAATGGAGAATGATGGTTATGACCATGGAGTTGTTATCTTGTTTTTCACCCTTTTGTGATGATTTTTATTCTTGATCGAAAGCTTTCTTAAAGGACTCTAAACTCTATGAATGGTTTAAGCATGAATGTGAGTTATGTGCTGGTGAACATTTTGTGATAATGGAATGTTAATTATGTTATAGTGAAAAGTGTGGATAACAAACCAAAGAGATTCAAGCATTCAAACAGGATCAATAGCATGTTTAAATCTTACCTCTTTTCTGTGTTCAGCAATTTGTGATTTCTTATTTCACTCTTTTTTCCATGATTTCTTATTTCACTATCAGCTTGTCTTTATACTGGCACTTTCATATCAAAATTTCTCTTAAAACATCTAATATTTTTGGGTTCATCTAATCTCATGAGAGAAGATATCTTATGTTATAGATACACATATGGTGGGGTCCACTATTTACAAAAAAATAAAAATTAAAAAAAATAGTGTCACGGTTTTCAATGGGTCTATAGGAGAAAAACTACTCTTATGTTACATAAGAGTAGTTTTTTCCAATATTTTTTTTTCTAAATCTCTCTTAAAACATCTAATATTTCTGTGTTTTCAAGACTCTCTTTTTTCGTGAGAAATATGTTACCTTTCTTCCTGATACCCCCTCTTTTGTGTCAACTTATAGGATGAAATCTATGCATTTTCGAGCAGAGTTAATTATCTGTTTACAAATTTTTTCTACAAATTACACTAAATATGACCGATCATAGTCTCTTGATTGAAGTATGATCGGTCATACTTAGTATAATTTTTAAGAATTTGTAAACAAAAAATTTGTAAAAATTTTTTTTGTAAATATAATCTTCTCTTGTACCTATGTCATTTTTGAGTTTCTTTCTAAAACAACTTCCTTTTTCTTAATCTGACTTGACTCCTTTTTTTCAGAGTAAATATATTTTTTGGTCCTCAGCAAATTTTACGTTGCCCATTTTAATCCCTAGCAAATAAAAAGGCCCATCGCAGTTCCTAAAAAATTCAAAATGGACCCATTTTAGTCATTTTAAGGATTAATATGGGTCTTTTTTTGAATTTGTGAGGGACCACGATTTCAACTAAATGGGTCCATTTAAAAATTTTTAGGGACCACGATGGGCCTTTTTATTTGTTAGGGACTAAAACGGACATCGTGAAATTTGCTGAGGACCAAAAAAAATATTTACTCTTTTTTTATTTGGATGATGCAAGCCTGCTTGGGCTGTGCACGTAACAAGAGATATGTTTTTTTTTTTGGTAACATTAACAGAGATATGTTTACTCATGAGTTATTATCTTCTTCTTTTTTTAATTCATTTAAGAAAAATAAAATAAAATGGTGAATAGATGGGGCAAAATATGGTGTTTCCAATCTCATATCGCAGGATAGAAATTGTCGACAAGGAAAAATAATAATAAAGAAAATAAGCGTCCTTATTAAAATAATTTTTTCTTCTCGTCACTATTATCCAATGTTATTAAACTCGGCCTTGCTTACAGAAAAAAAGAAAACTCAGCTCGATTATTGATCCAGTCGAAGTACTGAGTCACTGGTTCAACACCCGTTAAGTATATGTAAATTTATAATTTATATTAAAAAACTATAAATATACTTAAATATTTGTAAAAAAAATATACTAATTTCAAATATTTTAATATAAAAATAATAAATTATACATTATTGTCCAACAAAAGATCAATTAAACATATAATATAATATTTGTAATACTAGTGTTTCAGGTTCAGTAAACGACATCTCTAACTATAAATCAAATCAAAATTCCCTGCATATTGCATAATCAAGATAATATTAGTGTTATAGGTACATAGTCTATGTAAGTTAATAAGCTACAAGTCACTCAAATATTTCAAAAGAAAACAAATAATTTGTGTTTGAGAGTCAAAAAGAAGAAGACATTAATTAATGAAAATAAATTAGTTTTTTTTTTATAGATCGGGCCGGGTTACCAATTGAACCGATCGGGTCATCGATTTTTAAGAAAAACACACCGGTCACACTGGTTCTGTAAAATAATCGGTCCAATATGAAAATCGGACCGGTTACATGACCAGTTCACTGGTTTTCGGATCAACCCGACCGGATCGTTCTGATTTTTATAACATTGCTATTATCTATTAGAGGAGACAATTTCCATCGCTACAACCGATGAAAAATAAAACCCTTAAACAAATGGCGAAAGAAAAAGGGAAAGGTTATACTTACGACCTATTTTCCTTTACAATCTCTTACAACCAATATCTTAATCGTTGATTTCCGTCAATCAACGGTTAAAATTTTTGTAAATAAAATTTATTAAATAATTATTAATTCACAATAAATTTTAATCGTTGATTGACGGAAATCAACGGTTAAAATATTAGTTGTAAGAGATTGTAAAAAAAAACAAGTTGTAAGTATAACCTCTTCCAAAAAAAAAATGAGCGGACTAAAAAATTATATTTAAGATGAAAAACAACGTTTGAAAAGAAAATTTTGAATATTTTATTTGAAAAATATAACCCTCATGATACATGCCATCGACTTTTGAGCTGTTTTTCTATATTTTTTTAAATATAAATAATGGTCCCAACAAAAACGTGTGTATAGAAAGCAAACTTTTTCAAAGGAGTCGTGTCTTCCCATAAGAGAGCTTTAATTGTGTGCTCCCACGCGTATCAATGGACCTAAAGATAGAGAAGGAAAGATTACAGAAAAAAATATTTTTTTATTCCAAATATTATTTTTTTAGTGAAAGAATTATTATAGGTTAGGATCACTTTAAAATTTTTCCTTTACGAGAATGGATTAAAATTTCATATATTTATGTGTGTGTCTCTTTATTAATATATTAAATAAGTGAGATTCAACTTTAATTAATGAAATAAATAAACACTTTTATGATTTCTATATTTTTACAGTGAATATAAGTGAATTA